CACATTGCCATAGCTCTGTAAGAGTGGTTTGGTGGTCGAAGGACTCACACCATTCCAGCCACTTTTCCTGCCTGACTCTGTTGGCAGTTTCCTTGGCATCCCTGACAGCCTCCCCTAGGAAGACTAGGTTATCAGGGGGTCTTTGCCTTCGGAATTGTTTTTGGCACATGTTTACTCTATGGTTGACTTCCTTAATCTCTTCATTAAAGTACCAAGTGAGGTCTCGGACCCCCTGACATGCGTTGGCTCTTGGGTATAGAGAAAAACGATCTCAGGGAATGTCTCAAGCACATTGGCTATGTGATAACCAGCCACATCTAGTGCCCTGCAGGGAGCCAGGCCGGGGTGGTGTGCATTGAAGTCTATCCCAATGATCACTCAGCCATGTGCTGCAGTAGCATAGACCTGGCTGATGTCTAAGCTCCTACAATTTGGCCGGCATATTGCAGTTTGAGGGGGCCCCTGGCCAGGTGAATCTCAACAGCAAGAGACTCAACATCGTCTCCACAGTGCGGTGCATCAGCTATTGCTGAGCAGGGGATTGTTGCTCAGACCAAGGTGATCAAGCCTCTTTTGCCAGCTGTGTGTGGCACCATGAAGACATGATACCCTGAGAAGCAAACAGTCTCCACTCTTAATGTCTCCTGGAGCATGGTAGTATCAGTGCTCCTTGATCACACTATTGCATGGAGGATGGCATTTCTTGAGAAGCCACTGATGTTCCTCTATAGTATACTTAGGTTCGGTATTAGTTACATCAGAGACGTCATCATATTAGGGATAATAGGTGTCAGAGTCTGACAGCTTCATTGTGAAGTCCTCGCTGATTGAGGGATCTTAATCTGTTTTTGGGATGTTTGTCAGGCTATCCCTGGGTCCACAGGGGCGTGGAGAGCCTTTAGTAGCTCTGACTTTTGTTAGTTTGCCTTTGACTTCAGGCTTTCTCTTTGTTGGTTTTACCTGGGTAAGTTCAGCATGTTCTGGCACTGGCTGCACAGCTTCAGCCTGGTTTGGCTCTGCCTGTGAGGGCATGGCCTGGGTTGGAGTGGGGAGGGAAGTCTCTTCCTGGGGTGAGGGTGGGGCTGGTTTCGCCCACTCCAGCTTCCTTCCTTTCAGGACTGCAACAGTCTGGGTCATGTCCGTCATGGCACCCATGACTACCTTCTTTACCTCTTCACTCAACCTCCCCAAGGCTGTTGCTAAAGCAGTGACTACAGCAGTCAACAGGAGAGTCATATCTACAAAGATCTTATCTGCACTTTTTGGATAGCTGGAAACTCCTTTTTATTGGAGATATGCTGTGTCGGTTGGGAAGCAGCTTCCTTCCTCTTAGGAGATCAGGAAGCCTTTTCTTTTGTTCTGTCCCCAGACATAGGTTCCTGGGGGAGCAGAAACAAAGTCAGGTCGCCTTTTAGCAATCTCCTGTCGCCCGAGGGCCGCCTCTTTCCTGACAGAAGAAGCCAGGCACCAGGCATGATGGCTCTTGGCACAGTTGTGACATTTGGCTGTTGTGTCCCTTTGTTTTTCCTTGTATGCCTTAAGGCACACCTTGGTGTTGTGTGCCTTGCTGCAGACACCACATTTAGGCTTGGCTGTGCAGCTAGCTTGGTGGTGACTGTATTTTTGGCACTTACAGCAACGAAGTGGCTCAGGCACATACGTTCTTAAGTTGTAGGTGCCCCAATTACCCAGATCAAGGGTAGTAGTTGGGGCTGCTTTCAGGGTCACCAGGACTTGCCTGGTTGGAATCTTCCCTTTCGACATTTGAGAAGCCTCTGCAACTTGGGGGTGTGATGCGATCAATTCCACATCATATGAAACTGAGTAGCTAAGTAGCACCATCTTGGCTCTCTTATTGTCAGTGGTGAGAGACATACTTTTCTCCCATCTTTAAGCTCCTTTGTTTCCTACAGGAAATTCAGGGTAGCTTGGTCTTTGGGCACAATAATCATGCCCTGGTCTCTGGTAACCCGGATCGACAACCATCTCCAATGCTCTGACCAGTTGGTAGGCATTGTCGAAGCCTTCAGGTTTAGAGGGAATCTTGAACTAAGGGAAATGCCTAGGGGGTCCAGAATCTCCCTCAGAGTCGGTCTGAGTCGTTTCAGTTCGCCCTTTCGGCTTTGGTTATGGGAGCAGCAGCTGTTTCGGCTAGGTCAGGGAGGACGTCTGAGGTGAACTCAAAGGCCTCCCTGGCTTGGCTGCAGGCCTGGAGAGGCCAGCACGAGAGTTCATCTGCTGAACAATTTGATGGACAGACATGTTTGTGGCTGATGGTTTCTCAGTCTTGTCAATTTTGGCAGCAGGTATGACAGAGTCATCCTGTGCCTTGGGTTTTCTTTTGCTACCAGAAGCTTCAAAGTGACTGCCTAGGTCTGGGCCTTACATGGGTCATCCACAGTCATCTCTTTCTGTGGGGGATTTTGAGTTTGATTTTCCATGTAGTGGACAACTTCATCCTTTCACGCCTCCACCCACCACGGAGTCCAACAATGAGAAGCTGAATGTTAGAGCCAGTGTCCAACAGCTACAGGGGTGGTGAGAGGATATACGTAGCCAATAGCCACTGTAATGGTACTCACGGACCAGTGTGAGTGCCAATGGCGGCATAACTGCTTGAAAAGGTATGAATGAGAATGAATATCTTCACAATATAAGAGATATATTTGACCGGTTTCGAATATATCTTCATCAGAAATGCATACATCAAAGGAATTACAGAGTATATATATATATCAGATATGAGCTGATGAAGCACCTGATGACAACTGTGACCTCCCATTGTTGTCTGTATAATTGGTGCCTTGACCTTGGATTGTTTAAATCTACCCGATGCTGTGTTGACATTATTCTCGGTCGCGATGTAAGCAGCTTCCATGATTTTTCTTTCTTGTCTGCTCTGTTGACG